TAGCAACGCTGATCTCATAGGTGGACGGCTGGCGCCATCAGAGACCATAGTGACAGGTCCAAAAACATACACGCAAGCGACTCAACTCCGAAAATCGCGCAGACCGAAGCCAAATTGCAAGTGATGACGGACGGCTTCACCTTCTCGCGATAGTGGAAACTGGCGTGAAGGGCTTACGCCTACTTATACACTATTTTAGTTTGATAACTGCTGTTTAACCCGCAAAGCGCTCTAGACATTCTCGCAAACGTGCTTAGTTATGCCTACTCGACGCCACTGGGGTGAAAGAGTAACAGCGGCTTCGGTAGCGTAATGGAGAACGCAATCGCCCGGTAGGCGGGAGATGCGCGGGTCCTTTTGGGGTCTGACTTTTACCCATAGCTCAGCATTCTTGTGATGATTCTCGGAATACTTTCGTGGTTCTTCCTAGCACCTTCGCCAACCTGTGCCACCCAAAATTCGGTGGCACTCTCTACGGGAAGCGCTTTTTTAGCCCGCTGTTAGCTGGGTGGTAAGGAAAGAAATGGCGGAACTTTAGGACACACCTAGGAACCTTCTTCGTACCATCTATTTTGGGCATTGCATGAGAAACTGGGAAGAAACCCCGAGAACCTAGGCGAGAGGTTAGATATCAGCCAGATGAGAGATGAGGGAGACGAACTAAGGGACAGACACCAGCGCGTCTGGTAACCGCGCTCATGTCAGCGTGGGTTGCATCAGCAAACTAGTGCCCTAGCGTCTTACTCCCGCTTTGCTCTGAGAAAGTGATACGAGCTTTTGCGCTTGCGGACCTCTTTCTTTAACCCTCACAGTTTACTTTACGGTTAATACCATTCGACTAATGGTAGAATGTATCTTTTAAAAGGCCGCCATATTAGCAAGAAATGAATGAGCCGACAAGAAGAATCCAGTTTCACAAGTTTTTGGATGTATGCGCGATGATGAATGAGACCCGAGCTCTTTTTAGCGCGGTTTTCGAGTCTAACACTGGGATGTGATGTATTAACCATCAAATTTTGCCGTTGTTGGCCGGATTAAGGCCGCGTTCATTTTTTGCGACCAGAGCGACTCGATCGCGCGATTCGTGGATCAAGCTATTGCGACTAGTGTCGTACAACAGGGTACAGCATCGTTGTGTGAAACACATAGGAGGTCGCACTTTTCCGCTGGGGAGGGGAGGTCGTATTTGGTTGTTGTTGGGAGAGGGGGAGGGAGGGGAATCGCATGCGCCTTTGAGAGAAATTTGCCGTGTTGGGACAAAATTTTTCCCTGTGTTGACTTTACGGGATTTTTCCTGTTTCATGTGTACTATGTACCCCGCCGCACCCGTCCCTCTCGACGGAAAATTTCTGGGTGAAAAACTGGAAAATGTGGGAAATTGGTAGGTAGGTGTTGGGGAAGGGGGGGTCGTACCGAGACCCTCATTTAGGTGGGGGGAGGTCTTACTGACACCCTCTCTGTGAGGGGGGGGGGTCGTACCTACACCACCATTTCACACATCACGATGTCGTACCCTGCCGGTGACGCTCCAAGACTACCTCCTTAACTACGGCAACGGTCAAAAGTATTTCCTCGGAAGAATCTCAAACTGGAGTAACACCAGTAACAGCGGTCTAACGATTACCTATGGAGCGCACAGTTGCAGTCGCGCGATTGAGTCGGAATGTATGAACACGGCCTCACAAGGAATGCCAAAGAGCATGTCATTGACTTCCTCATGCTAATATGGCGACCTCATAAAAGAAAAGAGAATGGAAACCCTGCTAAGATGGTCTCTAAACCCAGGTGATTCCCTAAATATACGGGCTCAAGAAAAGTCCCCTCCAAGAAACAGTGCAGTAAAAAAAAGCAATACCACTGAACTGATCCAACGAGTGAAAACCTACCCGCATAGGTTTCCAATAAAACGACACCACATTCGCTCCAACAATAACCCCGGCAACTAGTACAGCACCCCTCCTGAATGCGTCTTCTACAGGAATACGATAGGGCCACCAGCGAGGGTTTGAAGACATCGAACAACGAAGAGCACAATGTTGGGCCCTAAAACAAATATGACTACTGTAACGAAATGTAAAGAATGGACACAAACTCTATACCTCGATGAGGGGCAGGGCGTGGCAGCGTACACGTAGGACGCGTTTTTCGTGGAATATTTTCTTCGAGACAACCGTCATCCTTCCTGCTTGGACAAAGACATGATCACAGTTGTCGCAAAACGGCAATATCCCAGAATAAGCGCGGCCGACTCCGGGTCCAAATGACGTGCGCAGCCACGCCCACTCTCCTCCGTGATATGGAGCGCATCTCACTGCTCCATTTAGATGCGGTAACTGAGAAAAAAAGGAAAAAAACAAGGCAGTTTTCAAGGAGGGGACTACATCTACATGATGAGAAGAAATAATTTAAATATGTTAAAATGTTAAGAACAGTCGTTACAACTGAGGTCAGTAGGGCGTGTGAAGGACGAGCCTGCTTTGACGCCCACTGACACTCCCCGACAGGCTGCAGTGACAACGACTGTATAAGAGTATGTAAAGCATAAAAATACCTCAGCGTCCTTCAAGCAACCGCGTAGAATTCGGTGATGCAATTTCTAAACGATCTAGAAGTTGTAAAGTCAGAAAAAGCTACAGTTGGTGCTGTAGAGGTCGATTGCAATAGATATCGGTAATCACCCACAGCTTGCTCAAGGATCAAAACGACGGCTTAAAACTTTATTGCACAGTAAACTTATAATGAATTCCACTAACAACTAAACTGAGTACATGTTATGATACGGTGTTCCAGAGGGTTATTGTTGGGGGAAGGAAGAACAGAAGAGACACAGAGGTTTTAAGGCTATAGAATGCTTTTTCATAACGACTTATTACATTTTATAAAGGACATACACTTTATATCCCCATGGAAGCGGGGGCGTGGCTGCATACTTCATCAAAGGATCGTAGGATGCGCATTTCTCATGACCTGC